CAACTTACTGCTTTATTAGTAGCAGTGTTATCCATAGTAAGTGCCAATATTTTATTTTCAATAGAGTAATTTTTTAACATGCTCATTATTACTAATGTTATTTCTTCTGCTGTTTGTCCTGATTTTTGAAAACTTAGAACAATATTAACTATCCTTCAATTATCACTAACCCAGGATCCTGTAATGACAATATAATGGCACTTATGAATAGTTGAGTGCCATTCGTCACAAGTAAGTGAAATTCATCCAGAAGTTTTGACCAATATATTCTTAACAAAATTTAATCTCAAATCAAATATATTGCCTGTAAAGTGTTATGATATCATGGTTAAATATGAGATTTTATATAAATGTGTAGCATAGCGAAGATTTTTAGATATTTTAAGAAAAAATAGATTAATGAGTATATTGAAGGGCATTTCTGTCACAACAACCAAGTTTACTATTGAATTATTCACGTCTTCTTTAGTAACTGGTTTGAACCCTTCAATCAGAGTTTCACCTAGTAGAGAATTAGGACATATTACAGTATAGTTTTTTAAATGTGTTCTACTAGTTTTTATTGCATAAGTCTTTTCATGGCAATGTATGCATTTCCAATATTTTTTATTATCATCACCTGTTATCTCTATCCAATTCTCTTTAGTATTATATATATTACCAATTACTACTGCTTCGTTATTATTAGGTGTTGAGGTACTAGAAGTTACTACTGCTTCGTTATTATTAAGTGTTAAGGTACTGGAAGTTACTACTGCTTCATTATTATTAGGTGTTGAGATATCAGAAGTTACTACTGCTTCATTATTATTAGGTATTGAGGTACTAGAAGTGGAACTATTGGGAATTACTAGAAAATTTTCCATAACGAGATATAATAAAAATAATATAAAGGAAGAATATAGAAATAGCACTGTAAGATAAAAGTATAGGCAATGTAAGTCAAGACAAAGAAAATATATAAGCGAGAAGATAAAAAAAAAACTTATACAATTTTCTTTCTTTTTACTGATATATTTACAGTTATTTATATAATTTTTTTAAATCCTTAATTTGACATTTAGCTTAGTCATATCTAGCTCTAACATTTATCTAATGAATACTAATTTAACACAATCATTTACTAGACTTTTTTCATTAATTTTAATATTTAACATATTATTTATTCAGGAACATTACAGGTAGGGTCTGCAGATGCCAGGCACAGGCACTATTAAAACATAGTGCCAGGCACGGGCACAGGCACCATTTTTAATAGTATGTGCCTGAACTCTAATTACTGATTGGACTCTAGTAAACTCTGTAAATTATAAACTCAAAGAGTACTTGCATTATTCAATCAATTTAATTTATTCAAATATCAGAAATAAGACAATTATTAATTTACTTCCTTTTTATTATCATTAAAGATTACTTCAAATTTTATTATTTAATATTAATAATATGTCAAAATAAACTAGAATTTACAAAATGAGTCTGATCATATTTTTAAGAGTGCTTTCAAGCATAAATACGATTGTTCCTATTCATTGTCTGGCTATTGTTATAGAGTGTCTCATTGATCACCCATGACTCACAAGTGATCTACAACCTTCATGCAATGAATTGTCACACTAAACTGACAATTATTATATACATCGTAAAATTTAACCTCAAAATTATTAATGCTTTTAAGTATAAAATGTGAGTAGTTATCCATTGTTGGGTTATTACTAGTGAAATATCTTATGGTCTGTCTTATAAAGCAAAAAAGATAATTATAAATATGTACAGAGCTGGAGATCAGAATGCACATAAAATAAGAGATAAAATCTAAAAAGAACCTCTAACGAAAAATAATAATTTCAAAATTTATGATAAATACGAAATAAGTATATACATTATAACTGTTTTTGCAATGTGACAATTTATGAGACAGATCATGGATCACTTATAAGTTATAAAATAACAATTAATTTTAACTGTTTAATTTGTTAAAAAACAGTTAATAATATTAAGAGATTGTCTTCTGCTTTATTTAGTACAATTTGTAATAGCATATTTTAATTAAAAATTTCAGTTTATAAACACTATACCAATTGATGCTAGTACATTGAATTATGCAAGGCAGAAGTTAATAAATGGTTAGTCACAAATTACTTTTAAATTATAACGATTATACTGCGTCGATGTTATTGTTTTAAAAAGAGCGTAATTATCAAACAATGAAAAAATATTAATTTATTAATTAATTTGTTAAAATTATTAAATATTAAGTAGAGTTTAACTGTCACTCTGTATTAATTAATTTGTTAAAATCATTAAATATTAATCAGGGTTTAACTATCATCCTGCACCTGAATCTCTAGTAAAAAATTTCTACTTTACAAACACAATAAAGTCGATACACTTCTAAAACTTTTCTGGATATAAGTAACATATATATAATACTTATTAATTAATTAGTCTTTACAAATTAATTTAATAATTTAGATTATTGCTAAGATGAGTTTTAATCGCAAAGTAGCTGGTTTGAGTTATACTGAAGGACAAAAACCATACAGGGGCCAGGGACAGGAAATGCTTCCACTATCAAATTGGAAATTTTTATCAATTATTCCATTTATTTAAAAATTATTATATGATAAATAACAAGATTTGATTGGCAATAATTTATCATTTTATAAAAGTATTCACTGTCCCTGACCAGGGCAACAATTTAAGATCAGGAAAAAACCTTCAAAAAGAATATTTTTGAATATTATGACTAGGGTTGTAAAATTACCATAATTTTACGTAATTTTGTGTAATTTTGCATAAGTTTACAGTAACATAATTTTTATATAATTTGTAATTCACGTAATCAGCTAAATCTAGCTCAATCACATGAGTATATCAGCAAGCTTTATCTGAAGTTTGTGCAAATTATAATATAGATGCATAAAATATGTAATCATAGAGTAGCAGTAGTTAATATTTGCATAATTCGATAATGCTGGCTAAGCTTTCATAATGCTAGTACTTTATATCACATGAAATGAAATTTACATGTAATCCATGTTACTGAAATTTATGCAAAATTATGTGAAATGCAATATTGTAAAATGTAATTTTCAACCCTAATTATAACATGTCTGAAATTATGGCATGAGTCAAATGTTACAGCATATATCAACATTATAGCATATTATGCCTTGAACAAAGTCACAGAGCATTCATTTGTTATAAGATTACAACTAGAGTTGTTAGGTGAAATTTAGGAGGTTTTACAATCGTAAAAGGTGAAACTGATTTTGACTTTTACCAAAAAAAATTAAATTGGCAAAAGGTGGTGAAATTGGCAAAAGTTAGCAAAATTGGCAAAAGTCAGTGAAATTAATGAAAGTCAATAAAATTAGTAAAAATAGTAAAATTAGAAAACTGTAAAAATAATAAAAAAAAGTTAAAACTCTTTCATATAATTATTAACTTTTTTATTTTTACTTGTTCAGTTGTTCAACTTTAAATTTTTATATACAATTACATAATATATATCTAATATCATATTTGAGTTCACAGATCGAATAAATAAAGAGTGAATAATAGGTAAATAACAAAAAAAAATTTGCCATTATTTTACCCTATATTTACCAAATAATGGCAGCATAACAGCAGCATAACAGCAGAATAATAGTAAAATAATAGGAGGTTTGTCAATATAAGTAAC